TTCCCAATCCTGCTGGAAAGGCATAACGAGTGGGGTTCCGCAGGGGTCTGTTTTGGGACCGGTTCTGTTCAATATCTTATATATTCAATATCTGTTCAATAAAAACAACAAGGACTCTGGTGGCACCTTAAAGACTAACCAATTTATTTGGGCATAAGCTTTTGTGGGTAAAAAACCCACTTCTTCAGATGTATGGAGTGAAAATTACAGATACAGGCATAAATATATATTGACACATGAAGAGAAGGGAGATACCTTACAAATGGAGAACCAATGTTGAAGGCCAATTCAGTCAGGGCGGAGGTGGTCCACTCTCAATAATTTATGAGAAGGTGTCAATACCAAGAGAGGGAAAATTGCTTTTGTAGTGAGCCAGCCACTCCCAGTCTCTATTCAAGCCCAAATTGATGGTGTTACATTTGCAAATGAATTGTAGCTCTGCAGTTTCTCTCTGAAGTCTGTTTTTGAAGATTTTTGTTGAAGAATGGCTACTTTTAAATCTGTTATTGAGTGTCCAGGGAGATTGAAGTGTTCTCCTACTGGCTTTTGTATGTTACCATTCCTGATGTTTGATTTGTGTCCATTTATCCTTTTACATGGAGACTGTCAGGTTTGGCCAATGTACATGGCAGAGGGGCATTGCTGACACATGATGGCATATATCAATCTTGGATCAATACCATCTGGTCCTGCTGACTTATTACTGTTAAATTTATCAATTTGTTCCAAAACCTCCTCTAATGACACCTCAATCTGGGACAGTTCCGCAGATTTGTTTTGTCTGACATTGTTCTGAGAAATCCCCAACATAGCAGTGGACCTGAACTTTGCCTCTGGAGTCCAAACTCTTCCTTGGTGGAAGTCCCTGAGCAGTGGAACTGAGTCCTCTTGGCCATTCTATTCCTCAGTTTGTGTTCTGAGAGATTCTTGCTCTCCTTGAGCTGAGACTGCTTATTTATTGATGCAGCAGTGGTGGCTTTCACAACCTCCATTCCTAGGAATTTCTGCAAGGCCAGCACAAATGAGCGTAGGCTGGCACAAGCTCGCATTCCTCTCACATAACAATTTTGCAGCTCTCAGCCCAAGCAGGCAGAGGCAGGCAAATATGCCTCAAGCAACTTCACAGAAAGAAAAAAATAGCATCTACTGAACTTAAACATCTTTAAAGCTGCAGGACCAAATTAACCTGCACCCAAGATTTTTAGTAGATGCTGAGGCCCTTTCTCTGCTAAACACTAACCAATGCAAGTCCAGGTTACAACCAAACCATTTTCTTTCTAGATTCTTGTTTTTATGGTCCCAATTTGGGCAACTCACAAACATTAAGGAATTCATCCTCACACACCCTAGCCCTGTGAGGAAGGGAAGTAGCATTAGTTTAACTTTACAGAGGGAGAAATGGAAGCACAAGAAGATTAATGGGATCTGTACAAGATCACACAGGGAATCAGAGCCACAAAACCTTTCCACCAAGCTATAGTCAAAGGCAACATACTCCCTTACCGTATCTTCTGCTGGGACAGGAGTGGCTAGGAGCTTCCCCCTCCCTCCTGTGTTTCTACCCCACTTCCTACAGCACCAACTGATTTGAGCAGTTGGGAGTTCTCACACACCCTGCAGCTACAACATCGTGACAAAGGCAAATTCTAAGAGAACTGCAAAAGTTAGAGATGGAAAAGCCGTTTCACAGATGTCATCTAGTCCATCCTTTCACAGTCCAATGCAGTATTTCTCACTCATGTTTTTCTAATGCTTTGTCTACTTTAGTTTCAAACATGTCCAAATATAATGATCAGTTGAAAGGTGGTGAGACATCTAGTGAGGACTGAAGGGAATGCTATTAGCTCTGCTCTGATTAACGTCTTCATGAATCACAGACTCACAGAATCAGGGTTAACAAGACTGCAAGGGTCATCTAGTCTAAGCCCCACCAAGATGCAGGATTTGTTGTATCTAAACCTTTCAAGACAGTTAGCTATCCAGTCTCCTTTTGA